CCGACGGCGACGGCGACGATGAGGGCTGCTCCTGCTGCTGTTCTTCGGCCGCTGGCGCTGGCGGTGGCGCTGCCGCGTCGGCGGCGGTGTCTTGCGGCGACGCTCCAAAGGGATCAACGTCCAACGCAACGTTCACGTCGTGCGACGACGGCGGCGGCGGGGCCGCGGCCCCCAGCGCCCGGGCAGCCCTCAACGTGAAGCGGCCCACCCGCTTCTCCTCCGCCTCCTTCGGGAAGGACATGGCCAGAACGGCGTCCCGCAGCTCCACGGGGTACGTCGCCGCGTTGTTTCGCACGGCGGCCGCCAACGGCGTAGACTCCGTCAGCGGCGGGTTTGCCATTCCGTGCTGCAGCTGCGCGAGCAGGAGCGTAATTTGCGCCGCCTCCTCGTCTGGCTGCGTCATGCGGCTGTATACGCTGGAGACGATCTCCGTGAGTGTCTGCTGCAGCAGGGGCTGCTGTGCCGCCTCCCCGTAGACCTCCCGCAGCGACAAGAGCAGACTGCGCAGCTCGCGCGGCCGCACGTTTTGCGTGTGGCGCAGCATTTTCTCGTTGAAGAGCGCTATCCAGTCGGAGCCGGGGTGCATCTTGCGGAGCGGCCGCACTGCCTCGAGGTATCGCAGCACCGTCCCCAGCTGAAGCCTCTCCTCGCCCAGCAGCTCCGCCCCGCCGGTGAGGACAAAGCTGACCATTGCCTCGTCCGAATCCTCGCCAAAGACGCTCGTGAGAAGCTCGACGAGGGAAACAAACTGCTCCGGCGAGATGGACACCGCACTGGCCGCCGCAAGCGCCTTCACAGGGTCCCGGGCGTGGGGTATGCCCGAGGCCAGCGGTAAGCTGTACAGGGTGTCTGCCGTCCACTCCGCCTCGGCAAAGCGGCTCGACAAGTACATCGCGCAGGCCGCCAGCAGGTCCTGTCGTCCGGCGGCCTGCACCATGCGAAGGTCGTCTGCCGAAAATCGCTCTTGCGCCGCATTGAGGCGTGCGGTGAGTTCCGCGATGACAATCCCCTCAAGCTTGGTGCCCTTTGCCAGGCTCATGGCATCCACGAGCTGTCGGCCGGAGATTTCCTTGTAGTTGATCTGCGAGTGGAGGGTGTCGTCGTCAGGGAAGGCCATCGTCAGCGTGAGCTTCGTGTAGCTGCTGCAGCTCGGCGTGAGCAGGCGCGCCGCCACCGCCTTCGCCTCGGGCATCCAGGCAGGGGACATGGGGGCAAAGGTGGCGCAGATGTGGCTGATCTCGGAGAGGGAAAACTCCCCCAGCACCGTCTCGATGCGCTCGCCGAGCTTCACCGCCAACTCCCGCGAGAGGAGGTGTGAGCGGCGGAGGATGCCGGCGGCCATGGCGAGCTGCTGAGGCTCAAAGCGGGTGACGTTCTGCGCAACGTAGCCCTGGTAGGCGACGAAGACGTGCCTGTAGCGCAGCCGCCCACCCATCTCGTAGGCAAATGCAATGGAAGTGACATCGTCGCAGTGCGTCCAGTAAATTTTGTCATTGCTGTCCAGCAGCCGCAAAACACGCGGCTCATACTCCTCCAGCAGCATACTCAGTCGCCCACCGAGCTCCCCCACGTCACGCTGGGTGACGCCGTCCGTTCCTGCCTCCAGTGACCCAAGCATGCGTGCAAGCGAGGCAAGAATAGACGCCACGTCGCGTCCGTTGGCATTCGTGGAGTACGTCAGCCCCACGCGTGCCAGGCGATGCAGCAGAGGGAGCGGCAAAGGAGCCAGCTGATGGTGACGAAGGCACGAGCCCATTAGGGTGGCGAAGTCGTAGCTACAGAAGTCGCCTGTGTGCTCCACAAGGGCAACAAGCAGGTGATTGGCCTCAGCCACTTTGCCAATGCGAACCATCCAACTGTACACCCGCAGAAGCGAGGACTGAAGGTGGGGCAACTCCGCCGCCGGCGTGCGCTCTAGCTGCGCCATCACTATCTGCGACAGGGATTCGTTCAATACGCTGGGGGCATGCTTGCTGTTGCGCTGCAGCACCTTCGCTGCGAGCTCGACAACGTTCCACCGCATGTTGGCGTCGCTAACATTGTTGCTGTTGACGTTGTAGGGGTCTTCTCGGGCGGCCTGCTGCAGCACCTCCTCCACGGCGGCGAAGATGCGCTCCATGTACTGCTCCCCCCGCGGGGACAACGCAATGGCCGCCTGCAGCCGTATCAGGCCGTCGACGTGGGCGTCCTCCAGAAGCCGTACAAGTTTGTTTGTGACGAGGGCGAGCAGAGTGGCGTCGGGTTCGATTTCAAAGAAGTTCAGCAGCTGCGACAACGCCAGCGCGTTGGTGCCCTGCTCCATCCACACATGCGTCGCACTCCGCGGGACCTCCGCCTCGAGGAACCGCTCCGCCTCACGCCGGGCGAATTCGTACTGTCCGCGGCCTCGCAGCCGGCGCTTCAGGGCGGAGGCCTTGCTGACGAACTCCGTGGCCGCCATGAACGCACCCCCCGCGTTGGCGCCGCCGCCGCCGTTGCTCTTATTATTACAGAAACTACCACTACTACTGCTGCCGCTGTTGCTGCCGTCGCCCCAACCGAAACCTAAGCGACTTGTGGCCGCAGCGGACCACAATAACATGGGACGAACATACCGCATCCCCTCCTGAGTACCGGCGACGACTCTCTTTCTACGTAAAGTTACAGGGCGCCCCTTGGCGACAGACAGCGCGGTATTACAACAGCGGTGAAATAAGACGAGAGGGTTAATGGCTCCGCCTTCGCTGCTGCTGTGCTAATGATTCCCTTTCGGGGCTGTGTGTTGCTCGCTGTGTTCTTCTCCTGCCTCGCCCGCTGCACTCCGCCTCCACCGCCTTTCCACACCGTCGCTGCTCAGCAGTGCGGCCGTGCGGCTGTCAGTGCAAAGATCAAGGGGAAACGCAAGACACGCAGACGCGGCGAGCGGGAGAAACGGCTGAGGGAAAAGCGGGCGACACGCACGCGGAAGTCGCTACTGTCGCAGCCGCCAGAGACCTCAGACGAGTGTGATCGTACGTATGTATGTGTGTATATATATACACGTTTGTGTGTGCGTGCGTGTGTGTCTGTGGTGGTGGTGGTGGGTGGGGGGGGAAATGTGAGCGGAGCCGCACACACGCACTCAGGGAGAAATACTGGGGGGCCGACGGCGCCGCAGGCAACTCCCCGAACACCTTACTATTTCCTTCACGCCCCGCAGGCAGAAGACAAGCGTGGAAGAGAGAGAGGCGGCGGCCCGTTTCACGCATTGGCGAGGGACCCAGAGAGCATAAAAAGGGGCGGCGGGACACACACACACAGACAGACACACACAAATGGGGAGAACTACGCCTCCCCCCCTACACCACTCCACTCCAACGCAGATGTGCACAAGAAGGCAGAGAGCTGGGACATACACACACACTGAGGGAAATATACATATATAAACAGAGAAACAAAGACCGCACGCCAATGCGGCCACCGTCAGCACACGATAACAGAACACTGCACGTACACAAACTCACCACAGACGCCTGCCACACATTCACTGCCATTCCCCTGCCAGGCACAGTTTCCACCGATCACAGACACGAACAAGTGAAGAACAGAAAATAACTAAGCATAAAAAAAAAACAACAACTAGCGAAGAGCCAAGCAGCCTCGTCCCCACACACAGAGAGAGAAAGAGAGGCACATAAAGAAGCATACACAAATACACAAACAACAACAACTGCACCTCGTCCCAGGTGGTACCGCCCAGTAAAGAACAGACCCACGCGGTTATTTCGCCTTACACGCGGCAATCCATTTTTAGTACTCTTCCACTTCTACCACTTTTTTTTTATTGTCTCCCATTCGCCCATCTTACCACTTCAACCGCGTCAACTCCTCTTATCTCGCGTGTACGGCGAGAGTGGCGGCGGCGCCTGCGCCAAATCCACGTAGTGGCCGTCCGAGCTAAAGAAACCGCCTTGCACCTCATTGTCGCGCGCGACGCAGGAGGCACCAGGCGCGCGTGGTCCCAGCACTACCACTGAGCTGCCTTCGCCGTGCATTTGCCTCGTCGCCTCACGCCTCTGTGACACCAGGGTCCGTATCTTTAGCGGCGCCTGCAGCTCTCTATCCATAATATCCGCGGTGTCCAGCATGTTGGGTAAGGGACGCAACAGCCCCAAAGTTGACCGCGGCGACGGCGGCACAACGCCCAACACGCGGGCGCCACCGGTGCCTCCACGCGTGTCACTGTCCCCGGGCGCCTCCAAAAACCACTCGTGGGACAGCAATTCCTGCGCCCTGGGCCGCAGTTGCGCGTCACGAACAAAGCAAAGGTCTAAGAAGGCACGGAGCGATGCCGAGGCCTCACAGTTGTCCGGGAGACGTGGGGGTGTCCCGTTGGCCGCGGCAATGGCGAAGAGCACCGCGGCAGGGTTCTTCCTGTCGCCCCCGAAGGGCTTCCGACCAGAGATCATCTCAAACACGGTGACGCCGAGGCTCCATATGTCGGCGGAGGTCGTGTAGCCAAGCTTCTTAAACCCAGCCTTGCCGCCGCCGTTAGCGGCGTCCCAGTTCGCAGCCGCGTCGTCGTCAGGCGCGCTCTCGGCGCTGCCGTTGACCACCTCGGGGGCCATGTACCAAGGCGTCCCCACCGTCGTTCGCATGCTGGCGTTGTCGTCAAGGAGTTTGCTTACCCCAAAGTCCGCCAGCTTGCAGCGTCCGTCCGTCGTGATCAGCACATTGGCTGGCTTGATGTCGCGGTGGCACACCCGCGCCGTGTCGTGCAGGTACGCCAGGCCCTCCAGGATGTCGTGCGTGTAGGAGCGCACCACACTCTCACGCAGCGAGCCTTGGCGGCGAATGAGCGCGTCGAGGGAGCCGCCGTTGACGAACTCCATGATGATTTGCACGCCGACCGCGCTGCGGCGTGCCCCGTAGTACGCCACGAGGTTGGGGTGCTCAAAGCTCTCCATCAGCGTAATCTCCCGCACGATGGCCCGCCGCTCCTCGACAAGCACGGGGTCCTCCTCCGCCGCCGCCGCCGCCTCCTCGCCGGCGCCGCCGTCGTCGAAGCAGAAGAAGGGGATCTCCTTCACAGCGACGAACCTGCCGCGCTCCTCGTCGTAGCCCTCGTACACGACGCCCCTCGCCCCGACACCCAATTTTTTGTTCGTCTTTCGGATGTGCTCCATCTCCCCCTCACCCCCCGCCCGACGCAACACACACACGCACACACGCACACACGGGAGCTGCGGGAGAATTTAGGTCGACGGCACAAGAAGCGAGGAACAGCAACAACAACAACAACAAATACAAAAGACAGTTGGAAGGATTGGCAGAAGGCAACTAAAAATAACTTAGTCCGTCGGTGCGGAGTAACTGCAGCCGCGCCGGCTAAGAGTGGGCGGGAGCAGGCGCGATCAATCAATCTACCTTTATTCGCCTTTTTCTTTCTGCGACTGCGTGGAGGCGAAGCGCCCGACAGCTGCTCCCAGACCTCGCGGTGACGGGAGCCGAGAGGAAAAAAAAAAAAAAGGCAGCAGAAGCGCAATAGCATCCGCAGCAAGGAGGAGGAAGCTCACATCGTCCACCGAGGTGAGACGCAATGAGAAGTGTGTGCGTGTGAGAGAGGAGGAAAGGACGTGCATTTCAAGCAGAGAAGAGAAACAAGGAAAAAAAAAATACAAGTGACAAATGTGCATCGGCTGGCATGCGCAGCGGATTTTTCTAATTTGCTTCCCATTTCTTTTTTTTCTTTGTTTTTTTTTTCCGCCAGGGCGTCTCTGCGAGAACGCGGCTACGCCATGTCGTGCAGGACGCGGTGGGCACGCAGCACCACATGCAGCAAGTACGACTCAACCGTCCTGTCGTCCGCGTTGTTGATGAAGATCCACATCGGCCAGCGTCCCTCCATCTGCCCCTCCGGCAGACTGAGCATGTCAAGCTGCAGCGCAATGAACTGTGTGTCTCCGGGGGCCAGGGCGAACTGCTTCGGCGTGACGCGGAGCTGGTAGCTGTAGTTGTGGTGCACCGCGAACACCTCCTCCCTCGCCCCGCGGTGCACGAACTGCAGACGGCGGAATATCGGCGCCGCGGTGTCCGCCAGGCTGAACTCCAACGTCTGGGTGTACGTCGGCGTGGGGTACACGGTGGGGACCGTCAGTAGCGTCTTGGCCAGGTGGTGGTTTGTGAGGGCGTGCAGCAGCAGCTGCTGCGTCCCCACCTCTGGCGGTCGCAGCCGCAGCAAGTAGGCCCCCTCGCGCCGCTCCACCTTCACGTGGGGGTGGCTGCAGTAAAGCGCCTCTATCCCAGCCGCAGGGAGGGACACCGTCGTCGTCTGCCCAAGGAGCAACTCGCGTGAGGTGACGGCCTGGCAGGCAAAGACACAGAGCTCCCAGGTCTCAATCACCTCACTCATGGCGGCATCCTTGTACAGGACCAAGTACTCCGTCCGCTGCACACGCTCGTCAGGCGGGATCGTGGTGTGCACCGTGACCTCCTCCCAGGCGGTGATGTGCGTCTGCGTGACGGGGTCGAGCACGGCGTTCGCCTCCGCCGTTGTCGTCTCCGAGGTAATGGAGATGCGGGCGCACACGTCGCGCATGCGCGCGAGCAGCCGCGCCCTATCGGAGGTGACGGGGAACACGGCGGAGGAAAACAGCCGCGAGAAGAACTTCTTCGAGACCCCCGTCCCGGCCGGGCCGTAGACCTCAAAGCGGCGGTCCACCAACGGCGGACCCACGGTGGCGTGGACGTCCACGATGCACACCACCTCGCGCCCGGCGCTGAGGAGACGGGCGCGGAGGTCTTTGGGCTCACCGCCGCGCGTGTTCCCCGTCGCGCTGAGCCGGACGACGAGAACCACCTCCGTGCGCTCCCGCGGGCCCAAGTAGAAAGACGGGGCGGCGACAGGGTCCAGGGCGCCCCTCGCGGCGGCGTCCACCTCCACGGTGAACTCCATGGCGGAGCTAAACGGGTTTTGAAATGGCGTGCGCGTCAGCTCCGGGCGGCAGGAGGCGACGCAGACGTAGTGGTGCACCGTCAGCCGCTCCATCAACGCCTCCGCAATCTTGCGGGACTTCATCTCGTCCCGCTGCTTGTCGAGGTAGCGCAGGCGAAACTCCAGGTCGCCCCCCTCCCGCGACGTACGGTGCTCCTGCGGCACCCCTGGCAGTCGTGTTCCACTGCCGTACACCTGCTTCGCATGCTGCGCGCGGCGCCAGTGCAGGCCGGACGCCGCTTCGCTCCCGGGGGAGGCTGCAGGCAGCAACTGCTGCTGCGAAGGCGGGGAAGATGGGGGCAATGGAGATGCCCGCGACGTTGTCTCCGCCGACGTCTCCCCACCTGCTTCTGCCGCCTTGCGCCCTTCCAGGAAATTTTGGTCCATGAGGTTTGCATGCGGCAGTTTTTTCGCAACAATCACCCGTGGCCCTCTCGGCGGCTCCACAATCTTGTGTTGCGGCTGTGCGGCGGGGCCGCCCTTGGCGGCGACGCAGAAGAGCGTCACGTGCAGCTGGCCGGCGTTGCGCACGACGGGGAACACCTTCGCCGGGATGCTACGCGCCGTGAGACTGAGGTCGCGGTAGAGCGGGAGATCCATCGGGATGCGTGCGTGTTCCGCGTTACAGGGGCGGCGAAAGTGCGCCATCTGCACCGCCACACTGCCAACGTAGAACATTGTGAGGGCGTTGTACGCATGAATGTAGAGCGTCGCATCCGCTAAATGACGATACTTCTGCATGAAAGGGTCCTCCGCCGCCTCAAGCGGCTCACACCACACCATCCCACCACGCTGCGCCCCATCGTACAGTTTAAACGTCCGCAGCTGCGGGGTTTTATCTATGCACGTGGTGCGCACGGGGCCGATCGTCTGCAGCGGAAGAGAACCAAAGGAAAAGATAAAGCAGACATCCTCTGGCACCTCCAGCGCGGCATCGGCGGTGAGGCCCTCAAAACGAATCCCGTCCAGCGACGTCATCATGTCCTGGCCGCATGCCGGCACCTGGTCCTCAAGACGCGTGCCGTGCAGGGGATGAAGTATGGGCTGCAGCTCCTCTTCTAGGCGGCAACGCGTTTCCCACGAGATGGCGACAGGCATCGGGGAAAGATCAACCACCTCAACGCCCGCGTCGTCTAACCGCCTTCCAATCTCATCGGCAGGCGCAAAGGCTGCCTTCTTTGAAGGCCTACGCCGCATGGCTGACTCCTGCAACTCGCGCAGCCGACGCAGCTCTTCCATGACCTCACAAAGCATTTTGAACACGTCTGGCGAGGCGCGATCCTCGGCGGGACGCCTATCCGCAGCGAGTGCATCACGGGTGGGATACGCGAGCTCCACGGCCGCTGGGGCTTGGGCCGTTGCTTCTGTCGTCGTCGTCGTCGCCCCGGCAGGTGGCGCAGCCGCAGCGGCCTCCACTACCTCTTCTGTCGAGATAATCCCCATCGACTTCACCGGCGGCAAAAGCGGAGGCGGAAGATGTTGCGTGACACCCTGTGCCCCCGCCAACGCTTCCGCCCCGCCGCCTTCCTTGGCTGCTGGCGGATTCTCTTCCTCGCTGAACAGCCGCGAGGCGGGCCACGAGGCCGGGACGTGGTCGACGACGAGGGTGTCGTGGTACTCCACCGTCAGCGTGATGGTCAGCGGCAGCTTGCCGTACGGGGACGAGGACTCCAGCATCAGCATCCGCGGGTCGCGGCAGGAGAAGGGGCCGTGCAGCGTGGGAAGGTTCTCCACATGAATGTCGCGGTCCTTCATGGGCATCACGCAGAGAGGGAAAACACAAAACCCAAGCACCTCGAACCGGCCCTCGTTCGCCCGCCTGCGCCGTATAGCAAGCACCAAGGAGGTCGTCGAGTGCACAGGAAGCGCGTCTATTTCTAGTGGCGTGACGGAGCGCACGAGGCACGCCGACCACGGCTTCGTCGCTTCCGCGGAGGCGTACGTGGAGGTGGAGGTGTAGCCCGATTTGGGGGCGGTAGCGCTGCCGCTGCCGCTGCCGCTGCCGCTGCCGGTCGTGGTCGTGGTCGTGGGGCTGGAGTTCGAAGGGGCGAGGTCGTCGTCAAACACCAGCGGGACCTCAGCGCCCTGCCCGAGCTGCTGGTAGCCGTTGTGGGCCACCGCGGCGACGCGCCACTCCGCCGTCCGGTCGCGCCACTCCGTGTTCCCCGGTGCGGGGTGGAGCTGAATATTTTGCACAACGCAGCGGAAGGAGTCGGCGGCGGCCGTCGGCGCGCTTTCCGTGAAACTCTGCGTGACTACGACGCCGGGCGGCACGAGACGCGACATGCGCTGCACCACCACCACATCCTCCACAGCCACGCAGGTGTACTTCAGACTCACGGCCTCGCCCGCGGCGCCCCCGCGCGGCCACGCCGCGGCGTTCAGGTGCAGCAGCTGGGCGCTGCCGGGGCGCAACGCGAGGGTGTGCGAGGCACACGCCTCCGCAAGCGGGACGTGACCCCACAGCAGCACGCGGCGCCCCTCCACCGGCGCGTCCTGCCGCTCGTCGCGGGTCACCGCCTCCACCACCAGCAGCATATTCTCCGCCCGGCCCCGAAAGAGAAGCGGCTCCGCCAGGGCGGCTTGTGCCACGGCGTAGGTGGCCCCAACGAAGACGCAGGCCGCCGTGTCGTAGAAGGCCATGTGCAGCGCGACCACGTCGTCGGAGGCGGGCAGCACCGGCCACTCCTCCCACGCAAGCCGCAGCGTGAGCATGGTGCCCGCCGCGGCCGCACTTGACGCCCGGCACTCCCATGTGTCGTGCCGGACCGCACTCGACAGCAGCACCCGGGCGGTCTGTTCCGCCGAGCGACTGCGGCCCATTCCGCGCCTGCCTTCACGCCCCCTCGGCTCTTCCTCTCCTCCCCCGCAGCCCGCGTCGGGAAGCAGAGCGAGTGGGAGGGAAAAAAGAGGGGGGGAAAAAAGAAAAGAAGAGAGGGTGTGTGGGCGACAGCAGCCCAGCAGCAGGGAAAGCACGCCGCGGCCCGCACAGGGGTCGTGTGCGGCATCACCCGGCGCAAGTAAAGAGCGGACACACACGCAATGAATTATTCCTCATAACCACACGCATGACTTACAAAAACAACGAAGCAACGCGGGAGCGAACAAAACGTCGTAAACTTCAACGGACCAAAGATTTAAAAACAAAGAAGAAAAAAAATTAAACCAACGTTACCCCAAAATGTCTCGTGTGGAAGTATAATGAATTCCACCCAACAACAAAGAAGAAAAACAAAAAGAAAAAAACACCCGCAAAATGAGATGGGAAAAAGACTCACTGAGCCGCGGGGGATTTTTTGCTGAAAGTTCTGCGGTCCCGCCCCTCCCCAATTCACCCCATTTATTCCTCCCACCTCCAAATCCATGCGGACTCTCGTCCTGGATGGGGCGGCGCTCATTCCCCCGTATCTACACGAGAGCGCTTGGCTGGTGCTTCCACGGCTTCCCCTCCGCACTGGCAATCTGCTCAAGGGCCTTCACGTGCGCGGCGGCCTGCGTCACGGCGTGGTGAAGCTCGCTGCCGATGCTGATGAACGTGAACCCCTGCTTCAGAAACTCCCCCACACGGTCCGTGCCAAATAGGAAAAGGCCCAGGATAACATTGTTCTTGCGCGCCGCCGCGACGAGCTTCTCCGTCGCCCCGTTTAGCTCCGGCGAGGTGTACATCTGGGGAAACACGTACTTTTCGTACAGGCCCATCGACATGCAGAGGTCGTTTTGCCCGAGGAAGGCGATATCGACGCCCTTGACTGCCATGATCTCGTCCATGTTCTTGATGCAGTCGGCCGTCTCCACCTGGAACGCCACCACCACGTTATTGTTCGCCTCACCGGCGTACCCCAGCAGGCCCTTCGCGTTCATGCACTGCTGCGGCGCGTACACCGAGCGTGTCCCGGCCGTCGGGTAGTAGCAGCACTCCACCGCCGCCCTCAACTCCGCGGCGGTGTTGACGTACGGAATCAGCACACCATCGGCGCCGGAGTCCAGCGCGTTCTGGATGCCGGGGCGGTCGTCCGTGCTCCCCACCCGCACCATCACCTTCGCAGGGCCGGTGCGGATGGCCGCAATCATCTGGCTGAGCGTCTTCGCATCCACAGGGGAGTGCTGCGTGTCGATCAGCAACCAGTCGTAGCCAGAGTGGCTGAACTGCCCGGCAAGCAGGTGGCTGGCGGAGTTAAGGAACACGCCGAACTTGGGCTTCCCGGCACGCAGCTCAGCCTTAAATTCAGCGCCTCCAGCAGACATGTCAATGCGTGTCAGTGTGTTTGTGTGTCTGTGTGTCTGTGTGTCTGTGTGTTTGTGTGTCTGTGCGCGTGTCCTCTCGCTGTGAAAAGTCGCCCCTTTTAATTTTTCTTTATTTCCTTTTCTTTTTTTCTTTCGCAAATTCCCTGCACGGTGTCCAGGAA